AAGTCACTCTGGACAAGAGTGTCTGCTATATGAGAGTGATGTAATGTAATATTTTCCTTTTAAAGCATGAAATCAGTAACAGGTTTCACCAGTAGCGCATGAAATGCAGCGTTCCCACCGAATCAGCGCGACGGCCTACAGCGGCAGGTTGCAGAGCCAAGCAGCGGGGCGCCCCCACCTCCCCCCCCCACCCCACCCCGAGCGGCGTTTGACACGGGGCTGTCTGACGCAGATCACGCTGCTGCTGCTGCTGCTGCTGCTGCTGCTGCTCAGGCAGCTGGAGGTGTCTGGTCTTTGGATGGGCTCCACTCCTGACTCGGAGGCACGGCCTGTCTCAGCTGGACAGGAATTAACAGCTCTCGGGTTAATGGAAAAACACAGGAAAGCGTGACCTTGTGTAATAGAGGTAGCTGTCACAGCTAAGGAGTGAGTGACTGAGAGGAGGTCAGCAGGACAGGACGAAGGGACCTTTTTGTTTAAAAAAAAAAAAAAAAAAAAAAAAGAGCTGGCCTGTCAGCACAGCACAGTGGATAAGCAGACATTAGACATTAATATGATGCTGTTTTTTGCAATTGTCCATAGCAGGGTGAGTTTAAATGACACTAAGAACATCTTTCTCCTCATTTATTCCGAATACTGTAATAGACATAAACCTTAAAAACAAGCCATAATATTTCCCCAAGATGCACTTATCATAAGCAAAGAAATACCGAAAATCAAGACTGTTTAAAATGTAAAGGCATCAGTTTCCAGGTTCCCAGAATGATCCTTAAAATCCAGCACACTCTGTTTTGAATCCCAATAATGTGGCATTCAATGAAGTCATTCCAAAAGGGGGTGAAACACACAGAAGAAACAGCAGGCCCCTCCCAGAGCTGGAGTTCCACCTCGCTTGCGCAGAAGATAAATGATAAAGAAAGGATGGCTGGGAGTCTAATGGATGGCTCTTTGTGCCGTGTGCACTTGAACAAGGTGTAGCAAACAGAGTAAATGGAAAGGGCTGCTCATGATCGCCCATTCCCCCTCTTCAACACCCAGCCCCCCATCCACATCACCTACAAGCTGATCGTGATGAATTTCCTACAAGAACATAATCATTTCCATAACGTTCCTCCCCCCTGTTGCAGGCCATTAATTTCGCGTTTATAACCCAGCGATCCTGCAGACAGCATGGAAACACTTGACACAGTGTGATTTGACAACATAGACAATGGCAGTAATGAATGAGTGTTCCAGATTTGTTTTGGTTTTTTTTTTTTTTTTTTGTTTCCCCATTTGCTGGATCCTCCACCGCCGCTGGGTTAGCACAAATGGGCAGCCGTAACCGTCTGTTTACACAGAGAATTTACACACGGCAGGTGCCGGTGTCGCCCATCTCTGACGCATTTGCAGAACGCAGTGTAGAGATTATATGGAGCTGAGGACTGCTTGATAGATGTCACTGAAAGATTCCAGCGCACTCAAAGTCCCTCTTCTCAGAAGGAGGGTTTTTGTCCTGAAGAAAACGCACAGGAACACAACCCCACAAATATGTTCATGTATTTGTGCTGATGGTTTATGATGCGCTCTTTCACACGCTCTTTGAGCGCTGTTTCGGCTGGATTTATTGAGGTGCTCCCGCAAAGCTGACGATGCGTACAGCAGGCTTGCATTCAGGGCCATGCAGAGGCAAATCCAGTCCGTTGCTGTCAGCCTGGTGTCTTTGCATTCAGTAGATAGTCCCTCAGGGATGAGCAGAGGGCTTTCCGTTACTGCCGAGCCCTGATCCGTCTCAGGTTTTAGCTGCAGCCGAGTCCCGCAAGGATTGCGCCGTTGATGCAGAAAAGCAGCAAGCAGCAGCATAGAAATGTATCTAACTCCCTGTCTGCAGCAAACATGAAATATTCAGCTGTGAGTGGTGGGCTCCACGGAGCACGGAGGCAGGGAAAACCTGGCCAATAATGGCAGTCTCGCTGAACCTCGGTGCTGCAGTCTGTGCCTCTACGACTGGCCCCACTGTGTGTGTGTGTGTGTGTGTGTGTGTGTGTGTGGTGCGCGCGGAGGTCTCACAATGCCTGAAAATGGGAGAAGAATGTAAAGCTAAACTGATTATCTGGCACACCCAGTTCTGTAAGGCTTTTAACGGTTGCGCATGGCCCTTCCACTGTATCTGCAGTGCATTCAGAATGGTGCAGAGGTGGGAAGGCTACATGCAGTGCACATAACCGGCCGCGATCCTCCTCCTAGACTGCCTCACATGAAAGTGAACTTTAAGGTGAATCAATAAACCACACCTATGTTGCATGCCGAGAGAACAGATGTTGTATGGAGATAAAGAAGTGTGTGTGTGGGGGGGATGGGGTCAGTGTACTCAAACGTGTCTATATTTCATGGCACGCCGTGTACAGAGCTGATGACATCGCCCCGCTGTAGGACGGGGTAGTGCGGCAGAAGGACGTGGTTGTCCTTGGTTTCTCCCTGCCCTCCTCTCCGGGCGTCGGCATTGTCTGCCTCAATCTCCAGCTCGTGGCAGCGTTGCGGAAACTGCATCCGTTCGTGTCATTTCCCTTGACCGGGTGCCGTCCCAATTTGTGAAACCACAAGAGCATTCCCGTTTAGTTGGGCGGTGTAGGTACCAATTATGAGGCACTGTTTGTTCATTACTTCAGCAACAGTGCAGAGAGCGAAACAGAATTTTTCCTCAGCGGAGCCACCGGTATGTTTCTTGTGTGCTTGTTTTCAAGGACAAGGTTTTTAAAAGTGTCACAGGCCTGCCATTGTCTGGGACACGATGCATGTGTAATCGAAGAAGCTAATGTCCAAACTCAAAATAGATTCTTGTGTGTGTGTGTGTGTGTGTGTGTGTGTGTGTGTGTGACATCACATCACATGAGTAATTAACAAACCTGTTCCTTCCTGAGGTGGTGTCAATAATGAGAGTAAACTGTCTTGAAATGAGCTTCTGTGATTAATGGATAAGCACATCATGTGTTCCAGAGATCCCTGAATGCATCATTTTAATCACTGTATGTAATTTTCTATTCACCTAAACACCAGTTGGCTTAGCACCAGTTGGAGGCAAAACACTGAGTCATTCATACAGCAAAAAGCACAGCATCCATAATCCCATAACAAACTGGGCTATTCTATATGAGTGTTTTGTAAGGCTTATGATGGCTATGTTCTATTTTCATGTTGTACAATTACAATACCTTGACGTATGTATTTAATTCTGTTCTAATTGTAAATTGTCCCATAGCAGATTGGTATTTTCAGTTTGAAAATACCAGATTTCTTTTAGAAAGTGATAACAGAAGTTGGGATATGAACTGAAACAGAGAGAACTGCAAGCATGTTTGTGTTTTACTTGCTTTTATATGACATTTCTATTTCTCTCAGGGTTTCAGCAACATGTTTCATTCCTGTTTTTTGAATAGCACCTCCCAAATGCTTAATGCTTTGAAAAGCACATGTGGAATGGCACAGGCAAATGTTTCCAGGACCATTTTAATTCTACACATGTCCTGATCCCAGTTCCCTTGCTGTATTTGATCTAGTGAAATCTGCTCAATTGGACTGACTCCTGGCATATAAGAGTGTGTGCTTGGCTTAAGTGAGGGAACCAATTACAGCGATTCAACATTTGCGCATGCATGTCCAGAACATTTTAAAATGCATATTACTCACAGAGAGCACTAAAGGTCTCAGCAGTCTTTTTATTGCAGTACAATGTAAGGATAAGGATAAGGATAAGGATGTTTTATTGTCATTCCAGGACATGTTGTACATGACAGGGTGTTGTGAACACCTGAGTGCATGTGCCATCCTTCCATATTTAAACTGGATGAGGGGAAAAAATAACACTGGATGCATCTGAGAATTCTTCAGAGGTGTGAGGGGTAATGGTGAAAGAGTCAGAAATGACACACACCGGCTGGCTCATCAATATGACCCAGCATGGTGGAAGGATTTAAAAAAAAAAAACAGACAACATTAATCATTCCTGATATGTTTTTATTTTATGACGTGATTTTTTTTTAAAATTAGCATATCTGAGAAACACACACATTTGAGTGGGTTAGTGGCAGAAGAAGCAGAAATGACACATGGGCTGACTCATCAATATGAGCTTGCATGATGAGGAACGGCACAATTTTAAAAAAGATAAATTAATTATGCTTGATTTGTTTTTCTTTTTTAAATGATCAGGATGAAGCCTTGGAGGAGTTGTGTGAGGAATATGATGCATTTGATGCAAACCTATTTAATCAAAAGCTGCAATCCGCATTACCATCCTCGATATCTCATTTATCAATTCACAACTGTATTGTTGCAGTTTAGAATGAGTTGGCATTCAAACAGTAGATTCATCAAATTAAAGTTTCCTGTCTTTCCTTACAAATCCATGCAAGCTGAAGTTATGCCAGCCATTAGCCCTGATGAAGATGTCTCAACTAGTTCCACAGTAATGCCACCATGTATTGTTCTAAGCTTCAACAAGGTCATTCATTTACACTCACTGATAAATCAACCATTAGACTTTAAATATATCAACAGCAAAGGAACACTGAACCTGTACAAGTTACTTTTATTTGTCTCTGTCATGATTTAATAATGTTTCATAGAAGATATGCATATTCTATTTCAGAGGTCTGAAGTTTTGATGTCTCCTGTAGTCGTTATCTGCAAGACTCACACACTGGTATTTAAATCGTTCTTTTTTATGATCACTTATATGTTTAACAAATGTACACCACGGTCTTGTGCGTGTTTTACGATGAGGTTTATTTTAATTAACTGTGCATTTAGACCCTGCCGTTAACACTGACAGGGCTGTTAAGACTTGCATCTCTACAGGACCGACACATGATGGTCATTCATTACATTATTATCATTTAGCAGCCGCTCTTATCCAGAGCTAGTTCCAAAGGTTACAGTTTTTACATATTACCCATTTATACAGCTGGAAATTTATGGAAGTAAGTCTGGGTTAAGTACCTTGTCCAATGGCACAGCAGCAGTGCCCCTGCAGGGAATCGAACCAGCAACCGTTCGATTATGAGCCCAACGTCTTACCACTATACTACATTGCCACCCCTTTCACCATAGGGCACGGTGCTGAAATGGTCTATCCACCATATAACCACCAGAAAGGTGTTCTTTGAGTGGTAAGCTTGGATTTGTACCTATAAAGAGCTAAGCTGTTCTCCTTTTTGTGTTAGCTAGTTATTTTGTTCATTTGAATACAGCCGAAATACCAGTGTAGACATAACTGCCAACTTCCTAACTAGTTAGATAATTAACTTGTGAACCAATGGCATAGGAAGCAAGATGTGCTTACATTGTGGTTAAAAATTGATTATGACTAATTTTGATGTATCAATTGCTGATATAATTGGCACAAATATAAAACACTACTTTTTTTTCTCCTTATATGTTTTGAAAATGCAACTTGGCCCACATTTGCAGGCTAGTCAAAATAGCTAATACCACTTTTAAGGTAAAAGCTAAGACAGTTGGTCAAAGCATGAGAATGTAAAACATACGTTTGAAAACACTTTGGATAATTTTGACATGACATGCTCTTTGTCCACTGAGACAGATAAGCTTGAAAGTCAAAGTGGCTTCATTTCTAATTATTGCAAACATACTCAATGTGAACTTAATAACCCATGCTATTCACAGAGCATGGCAACTCATGAAAACTTTGGTGTTCAAGTACTTTCTTCCCACGTCAGTCTTATGGTGTGGAAATACTACAGTGTATTGCCTTTAATTAAAAATGAGATTTGAAGGGTTGGTGGCACTGCTTCACAATTAACCTTTACCACTGACTTTGTTGATATCTTTATCCACACACACACTCTGTACAACCTGTAGGCACCTTTAGACATTTTATTTCCCAATGGTAGAAAAAGGACAAAAAAGCAATTAAGAATAGGAAAATAATATGTGAATGAATTATGCATTACTAAAACTAAAACAGTGAATTTATGTCCACTTTTATGAGAGTCATATATAAATATATATTTTTAGCTTCCTGCTGCTTACATTACTATCTGGCTAACTATATTTAGCCACAGAGTAGCATAATTAGCTTCATGTTTACTCGGCTTCAGAACGCTGATATGCAAAAGAAATGGCAGCCAGGCTACACACTGACCTCTGGAGACCCCAAAGCTGGGGTTACAGCTGAGGTGGGGCACCCTCTGGGTATACCTGTCAATCACAGGTATACACACACACTCACTCACACGGTTCATTTTTTGGCTCTTAATCTTTTAGTGTCGGATATTAAAGCATTCTTGTAACCTCCCCTCCCCCCCGCCCTACCTCGTTTCAGTATGTAACTAATTTAGCAGACACTCCATAAGTCTCGTCTCCAAAGCAGCCCAGCACAACCACACAAACCTTTTTTTTTTCCCCTCATCATCATGAAAGTCTGTTGAATGATGGACTGCTGTTGAATTACATGGGTGCCCTTGGCCAGACTGGCTCTGTTTGGGGGAGAGAGGCATTGATTTATACATGATGTTGTCTTTTATTTGAAAGTCTGCAGAAAGTCTGTAAGTGCCAGCACTTCCAAACAGTCTGTTGCAGGACCTTTGTTTTGGTGCAGTGTTTTCTTCCCTTTTCTTTGAGTAAAAACAGCTCCATGACTAGTCAGACAACATCCCCCCCTCTCTCACCCGGGCGCACCGCTGTTTCCATTTTTACCATATTTATTTAACCAACCTTTTGTTTTTTGTGTTTTTCTTCCCCAATAAATATTTCATGCCATCCACCTCTGTGTTAATCTTTAATGACCTGCCCTGTTTCAGAGCAAGTAACTTTCTTCTAGCTGTGTGTCATGTTTATTAGCATACATGTTTCTCTCAGACTCTCAGGTAATGGGCAGTTACAAGGCTTGTGTATATTCCATTGTTTTCAAAATACATAACTGTATCATTCAAAAATGATAAAGGGTTTAAATTTAAAAATGGAAACACGTCAGTATGTAAACACGTCAATATTGAACAATATTGAAGCTGCAAAATATATATCTTAAACAGTATTACATTTATTCAGTCAATTTAAATTTCTGTCTATGGTGAAATAAACCAAAAACCTCTTCACTCAAAAACATAACAAAATGGATAGTTTACACTACTTCACCCGCATCTTGTGTAAAATGTAACATGGTTTTGACGATACAACTCTTTAATCGGCAGTTATTGTAGCTGACTGATTGTAATAGGAGCTATGAGGATGGACAGGTGAAAGTGTTACTAATAGCACAAACACATGCGTAACTCACTGTAACTTCATTTCGCATTAAGAATGGGGAGAAGAAGAAAATAATGTTAAACTTTTGTAGTGTGATTGGGAAGGATGAAGCCAATTATTTAGTGAACTCACTAGATAAATCATATCTGCTAACAGCTACTTTTAAAGTAATATCTCTTGCTGAGTAACAGTATGTCATAGCAAAAATAGCAGTTGCTGTTCCTTTGGGGGTTGTAATTTTACTGCAGAAGTATACATAAATACATATCTATAACCAGGTGTTGTGCATTCATCAAGTGCAAAAGTGTAATTTTTAAGCTGTGTGAGCAAGCAGATTTGTTAACGAACAAAAGATATGAACCACTCCAAACTATGCCTTCCTATTTGTTAGCCACACTGCTGTCTACAGTGATGCTGTTGCTAAAAGCAGAGCTGTCTGTTGAATATGACTGAGGGCAGAGACAAAAGTTTCCTCTGAGGCCTTCCGTAACACACAAGTAATCGATGCTTAGAGGTTTGTGGTCTCCTTGCCTAAAACAAGTCCGATTTTTGTCTTTCCTTTGTCCTTCCCTCAAGGCCACCTGGGACATCAACAAAACACACCCTGAACTTCTGAAGTTCCTTTAGTACAAAGCAGGGATTTGTGGGTTTTTTAGCTGTTTTGTAGGTCAGCTGTCACTACAGACAGTATGTCTGACTATGCTTGGCAGTTAATCCATTTTATGGCACCAGTGATGAGATATTTGTATAATTAAAGCTGTGGTTCAATTCTCCTGCAAAGCTTTCGGCATTATCTAATGCACTGCTCTCTCCCTCTGCAAAGTATTGCAAGTTTAAGCACTGTGCCCCTTCAACTGACCAGGCTTTGCAATTGTTTCTCCCCTCTGCACCACCTGCAGCTGATTGCAGTCTGTTCTGAAAGTGTGCATCAGGGCCTTTGGCAAGGTCAGTCAGACGTTTGTGCAACTATCAGGCACATTCTACTATAAAAGAAAAAAGGGGAGACACTGCAGGGTGTTTGCATCTTCTAAAAGTGGAATTCACATCAATTTCGGACAAAAAAAACGGGTAGGTGGAAAAATGGTATCATCTGGTCTGGTGATCATATGCAAAGTAGCACACAAAGAAATATGAACGAAAATAATTGACAAAAGTAATCAACAAAAGTAATTTGGCAGGAGCTACTAATGGTGTGTCTTGTGGTTTTGCTCATCTGGCCTTGAAGGGGCGCTAAACTGCAAAAGAACTCCAGAATCATCTCAGGAGTGGGGAACTCTCCCATTGGTTTCTCAGTTTCCACTCATCGTGTCATCATGTGACATTTCCCTGCCCGAGGAAGTGAGAAATGACTGAATGTGCCAGTTCTGACTTCCTGTAACAAGTCAATTATTTCTACAGTCTTAATACGATCCCTCAAAGAATTTTTTAATAGAGATGGCATTATTTCATAAGAGTTTGGCTCCAGCAAGCAATGAATCCTTCAACACTGCTGCATTCTGCTTCCAGTCCCCTTCAGAAACAGAGAGGCAGTTTGAGTGGCTTTCATTTCCAATGTGAAAGGCACTTTGGGATTTGTTTGAAACTGAGTACCATACAGTATATTTTAAAACAGAAAATTTTCCTAATTGTCTTGCTTTATTGCTGAATACAACAAAATAAAGGCTTGATCAGTTTTTGTATTCTTAAAGGTAAGAAACAACACACACGTTGCAGTTGAATTATACCTTAAGATAAACTATGGGCTTCGGAGCATCATTAGCAAGGGGGCTGGCTTGTGTGAAAGAAACCCAGGGCTGTGTGGAAATGCCTCTCTTATTCAAGTAGTGGATGTCACTTTCCAAAGCATGTCAAGTCAGCCAGCCAGCCAGCTAGCTGGCTTGCTAGATTTACCTTGATAGCCATGGGACAGGTGCTGGTGACATGCTGGGTAATGAATAGTGGATGTTTAGCCTAACCCCTGGTACATTAAATGACATTTCTGGCTTGCTCGGTAGCGAGGGCTTGCAGACTTTCTATCGATTTTTGTCGGCCTGCTGCCTTCGACGTGGAGCTGAACCCAGCAGCATTCTGTTGCTTTGTGAAAGTGTGAAAACTTCAGCTTCCATGGTTACCAGTTACAAGCTTATTTTGTGACAACTGCAGATTTTAATTTAATGAATAGTGTTACAGTTAAAGAATTTTAATATGTTACAAATGTAAGTCTGACAGAAATGTATACCTATTTTAAGATCAGAAAAAAGAACCCCACTTGTTTACAAGGAGAGAATGCAGTTATGTATTTGAATATCAGTATTCTGTTCATGGCTAAAAATATGGATTTCTGATACAAGGTCCTGAAGAAAAAACATCTGGATAAACCTTACAGCAGTTTTATTAATGTGTGATGATTGAAGTTTCTTAACTCTCTAAATGTTTGACAAACAACCCTGAGACATTCAAGACAGAACAACACAAGACAAAACATCAATGACATGGACACAGCGTCATTTACTTCATTTAAGCAATGCTAATTACAATGTAATCATAGTCATGTTCTTTATGCATATCATTTCATAGTTGTGTTTTCTGGGAATAAGAGGCTTAGTTCTCCTTTGGTAATCAGGCACCATAAATTACACAAATGGTCTTTCTATGATAAACAGACCCGTCTCCGCTGCAAGCCGTCTGTAAACAGCTCGCTTTTACCGCCTTTAAATGTCAGGTTTTCTTTCTTTTAGAAGGCAACTCCTCATATTCAGTCTACATTATCAACAAAAGCCGGACATTATAAGAACAAACACTGGTCTTGACACAAAGCATTCCAAGTTTGATTTGTTCTCCCCATTGC